TGTATTTCGCTGTACGATGATGATGATAAGTGTCTGATGACTACCTTACTCATCTCCATGTGGTTCATCGTCTCAGAGTAATGTTCACATCCACGTAATTTCAATGGAACCCAAATTGTGGAATTTCGTCTTTGTTGTTCACATATTTGCTTTTCAATTCATTGCCAGTTGAGCACAGCTCCGATATTTGCACTCAGTACACTCTCTGCTAATTAAGTACATCAGCTCACTCAGTTTTTTTGCCGCTCTATCACTATTTGTCTGGAACAGCTGTCCTACGCAGAAACTGTACATCGTTTAGCTCTTGGGGCCAATCCGGTGCGCACACGACTCGCTCTGCTCCAGTATAGCCAANTAGCCAAACTGCTCTGCATCGGCCTCCTTCACCTCTCGAACGAGATGAACCACCTGATGGCGGATTATCAGTGAAGTCTGTCCTTCATCTGAGCCTGCGACGTGCATCGACCCCGAGTCAAGATTCCGGTCTTGAAATGATGGATCGGATGACCGAGGATACTAGTCATTCTGATTCCGATCTGATCGATAACGATGTTGAAGAAGATGAGTATGACGAAGATGATGAGTTGGAAGATGTTGATGATGGTATGAGTGAATTTTGCGGTCGAAAATATCCAGATTGTGCGGTGCTTCCGGGACTTCGATTCGCTACTGATACGGTCCCGAACACTGCACTCACAAGCCTAGAGCACATTGTGTCTCGTGCTACGGTTACTCCATTACCCGGTCAATAAGGTCTAGATTTTTTGGTCGGTTTGCTATTCCATTTTCGGATTGTCTCACTCCCGCTCATGCACAAAAACACAATTGTACCAAATCTTAGATGATCATTTCCTTATGTCTGTCTGACGAAGTTATTCAATCATTCGTGTTTCTTTATTCTGTTATCACTCTCATCCTGCCGCACTTTTTCTCTACCAGTTGGAATGAACAATACCCTTGTAAACCTTGCTCTTCTTTCGCGCTTCAATCGGCCCACCGGTACTACGCAGTGCCAGAACTCCCCATCCTTTCCTAGGGTTCGTTTTGCGTATAAGATTTGCGCTCTCTTGCTTGTTTTTTTGTACTAATCATCGTGTCCCGTTTGATTCCGTCCACAACCACACGCCATCGAACGGTTCATTCGATCTCCCTGTTCGTATACACGCATACACGTGTACACATCTGTGCTCCTCGGCAACTTGTCCCATTTTAACCGATTTGACCTGTTGACATACGCACATACATGCCTACATGTATTCAGGTTCAGCCGTAGCGCTCCCGTGCTGCTCGTTCATCGTGTGCATAGTGTGTGTGTGTTCATGCCTTCGCGGATTCGACTTGAGATCATCTAAAATGAATGAAAGATTTGTTCCATGTTTGTTTGTCTTCGTGTCAACCATTCTGTTTTCGCTTCATCGTTCATTTGTATTTGTTTGTTAAAGTGGAATAAATGCTCGTTCACAAATTGTTGAGATTGATTTTTACGTCAGTCCGCCGAAACTGGGTTCAGGAACCTATTCACGCCCTACCCTCCTGAATCACCTGTATATCTGGCGAAGGAAAGTCGACCATTTTATTTTGACCTTTCGCTGATCTGTTTCTTTTGCAAGATGGTCTTAACAGACGATTGCAAAGCGTCCAGCTAGGCCTGAGTTTGAGTGAAACATACGAAAAACTCAGCCATCTCAATGCCCGAGAACGAGAACAGGTCGCTTCAACTGTAGAAAAAAGAAGTGTCTTCAGTAGATCGGATCGGTTCGGGGACTAAATGTCGTCAGGAAGAAGGAAGCGATTATGGAAAGGTCAGAAAATAATGTCAAAGCGCGTATCTTCCAATTGGCAAACGAGTTGAACAACTTCTTCATCGTCATTCATCCGTACAACGCGTATTCTCTCTCTAGAATTTCATTGAACTCATGCACATTTTTTCATCCGATAACGATGATTGGTCAAAGTGTGCGGAATACGCTCAATGGCTTAGGTTCACCTTAGGAAGACAGTCATCATTGGCTGAAGATGTAGTTTTGTTTGATGAGGTTGTTCTCTGCCCTCATGGTGAGGTGAACAGAAAACATTCGGTTCATTGGGTGCGAAGAAACCCTTATGTTATAATGGAAGCTCACTTTGCAATACCACAATTCTTGTTCGGTTTGGGATGTCCTCTCCGGAAATCTCTCTGTCAGCGATAGTCAAGCCAAAAATCGCTTTATTCTCAGCTTCTTGCACTCCAGGAACATTTATCGTCCCATACAGCCACAAAAAAGTGAGAAAAAAAGCATCGTCTATTCGAAGAAATGGGGAGTGAAAAGTTTGAAAATGAACATCAATTGCGTAGGAATTTCAAAGTCTTCTCTAACGGATGCCTTTTGAGCCAGAAATCTCGAAAGATAGGGAATGACGGACAAACGATAGGCAGTGATACGAGCGTACACTAGTTTATAACGACATCTTGTGACAGAAGTGGATATGCATTGTTTAAGTTCTGTGTAATGGGTGAGTGGTGTCTGACAGAATATTGTTACAGAAGTTATCGCAAGAGGTAAAATGTTTATCAGCGATAAAGTTAAGCAAGTGCAAATAAGGAATACCGCTTGTGCGAGAAGTAATTTTAATAAACCGGCGTAGAATTTAGTAATCTTTAGCTCTAAGACCGGCAAATAAAACTGGGGAACAGTAGAGATGAGTAACAACACAGGAATATACAAATTGGGTTAGTAAATACAATGGAACTTT